GGGTGGTAGAGGAAAGAGCACTCTTTTTCACAAGATTGCTTATGATTGGGCAGTGGGATCTAAGGGAATCCTTCAAAAATATAAAATGGTCTTTCTTTTGAAAATGCATTACGTGGAGCAGGCGTCAGATCTCATTGGTGCAGTGTTTGACCAACTCATAGCTGAAAACATTGCTAAACACATAGACAAAGGTGCTCTGCAGTCATATATTGAGAAGAATGCCGACAAAGTCCTCATTCTTCTGGATGGCTTTGATGAGTTGAAGACCACCTCCCTCAGCGAATCCTCATTCGGTTCCATACTGAAGCTCCTGAGTAGAAAGTCATATAGAGGCTGTACTGTCCTTGTCAGCACACGCCCCTCACACTATGACAGATTGGTAACAAAGGAACTGGTTCAAGAACCTTTCACACATGTCACTGTCCTGGGGTTCAACAACAAGGACATGAGAGATTATGCCAAGAGATATTACTCTGATGAACCTGACAAAGCTGAGGGGCTTCTAGAAAGGATTGAATCCTCTAACCTTCTCTCCACTTTGGCATTGAGTCCAATGCTGCTTCTTCTGATGTGTCTATTGTGGAGAGACAGGTCCACACTCCCAGAAACAATGTCACGCCTTTATCAAGATGCAATTGAATACATTGCACACAGAAAAAAGGTTTCAGAAGAAGAAATGTCCAGAGTTGTGATAGCACTTGGCAAGGTTGGTTTACGTGGCCTTCTCGCTTCAGATCAAGAGCTGACTTTCAAGGAAAGTGATTTTGAGCAGAATCTTTCCACAGCTCTAAAAGTAGGTATTCTGACAAGACAGAGAGTCTGTAAGAGACTAAAGCCTTACAACAGTGTGCAGTTCATTCATAAGACATTCCAGGAATTTTCTGCTGCTGCGTACTTGCATGACATGTTTAAAGGGAGCAAAGAGGAATTTCAGAGGACTCTGAATGAAATCATGTCAAAGGACCCATTGGATTTTGAGTACCTTCTGCGCTTTTGTTGTGGTCACAATGAGGCATGTACATTTAAGATACTGAAGGTATTTCAGGAGAGGCATCAGAAGGATTTGTCATTTGACAGTAATGTGGGTCAGTTGGCACTTCACTGTTACTTTGAAGGTCAGTGCGAATGTTTGCCTCCCAAAGAATTCATAGATTCATTTCTGACTGATGACATTTCCATACACAGTGATAATTTTAACAGTGATATTTGTAACTCGATTAAATACTTTGTGCAGTGTATTGCTGAGCTGGCAAAGGACAGCGGGAATACTGACATTGTCAAAGAAGGCAGAGTGGAAATCAGGGTAGAGTGGGATGAATCAAATGTTATTGAGGCACTCAGTGGTCTACCCAACTTGGTTACATTGGATCTTTCTGTTTTTATACTATGTGGCACAGTAGCATTATGGTGCAAGCAGTTGGGGCAGTGCAAGGCAGTGCAGCACCTGCACTTGCGGGGCTGCAGATTGAATGGACAGGACATGGTACATGTTGCTGAGTCACTCAGGGGTCTACCCAACTTGGCTACATTGAACCTTTCTGGTTTAAAGCTGAATCGTAAAGCAGCATTGTGGTCAAAGCACTTGGGGCAGTGCAAGGCACTGCAGCACCTGCACTTGAGGCGCTGCTCATTGAATGGAAAGGACATGGTACGTGTTGCCGAGTCACTCCGTGGTTTACCGAACTTGGTTACATTGAATCTGTCTGGTATCAAGCTGGATGGTAAAGCAGCATTGTGGTCAAAGCACTTAGGGCAGTGCAAGGCACTGCAGCACCTGGACTTGAGTTGCTGCAAATTGAATGGAAAGCACATGGTACATGTTGCCGAGTCACTCCGTGGTCTACCGAACTTGGTTACATTGGATCTTTCTGGTAACAACCTGGGTTGTAAAGGAGCATTATGGTCAATGCACTTGGGGCAGTGCAAGGCACTGCAGCACCTGGACTTGAGTTGCTGCTCATCGATAAAACAGGAAATGGTACATGTTGGTGAGTCACTCAGTGGTCTAACCAACTTGGTTACATTTAAGCTTTCTAGGAATTACTTGGGTGGTACAGTAGCATCATGGTTCAACCATTTGAGACAGTGCAAGGCACTGCAAGACGTAGACTTGAGTGACTGCTCATTGAATGAACAGGACGTGTTGCATGTTGCTGAGTCACCCAGTGGTCTACCCAACTTGGTTACATTGAATCTTTCTAGGATTTACTTGGGTGGTACAGCAGCATCATGGTGCAAGCAGTTGGGGCAGTGCAAGGCACTGCAGAACTTGAACCTAATAGAGTGCTTCTTGAATGGACAGGACATGGTACATATTGCTGAGTCACTCAGGGGTCTATCCAACCCGGTTAGATTGGATCTTACTGGGAATGACCTGGGTGGTAGAGCAGCATCATGGGGCAAGCAGTTGGGGAAGTGCAAGGCACTGCAGCATCTGGACTTGATCAGCTGCAGACTGAATGGACAGGGCATGGTACATGTTGCTGAGTCACTCACTGGTCTACCCAACTTGGTTAGATTGAATGTTTCCAGGAATGACCTGTATGGTACAGCAGCATTATGGTGCAAGCAGTTGGGGCAGTGCAACGCACTGGAGGACCTGGACTTGAGTGGCTGCGAATTGAATGGACAGGACATGGTACATGTTGCTGAGTCACTCAGTTGTCTACCCAACTTGGTTACATTGAGACTTTGGGGGAATGACCTGTATGGTACAGCAGAATCATGGTGCAAGCAGCTGGGGCAGTGCGAGGCACTGCAGGACCTGGACTTGAGTTACTGCTCATTGAATGGACAGGACATGGTACATGTTGCTGAGTCACTCTGTGGTCTACCCAACCTGGTTAGATTGAATCTTTCTGAGAATGACGTGGCCAGTAAAGCAGCATTGTTTTGTGCAGAGTTAAAGAAGTTCAAGGCCCTCGAGTATCTGATGCTCAGGGACCTTGAGGTGACAGAGGAAGAGAAAAGGCATATCAATGAATTATTGGCAGAGACCAACATTGACGTCGATTAGCCCATTTTCTCTTTATGTTTGAAACAGCCGAGGAAAGGAAAACAATTGAACTTATAAGAAGTAATGCTGTTTTCGAATACACAAGAAATATTACATCATGACAATCCAAATTGCGCTGTATACTGGCCATGAATTATTGCAGAATTTCATGCAAGTGGTCACACAATGACAAGTACCCACATGTACATGTGCATGTACAGGTTCATGTACA